TGTTTGTTATCAGAATGGTATAAACGCTCCTGTAAGTCCCTACATGTTTCGCCCCGAAAGGGCTTCTTCAGGGGAGAGAGACAATTCTATGGGAGATATGTGTCATATATGTGTCTCCATTTGTGTTTACCTGTGGCGGTTCATGCTTGACAAAACCAATCCCTTGTTTGTATTTGAAGCAGTTTTTCCACTATATTCTCGCTTCCCTGACTAACTGACGGTGAAGACACATATATGACACATATCTCCCATAGAATTGTCTCTCTCCCCTGAAGAAGCCCTTTCGGGGCGAAACATGTAGGGACTTACAGGAGCGTTTATACCATTCTGATAACAAACAACCATATACATCGTAACTGCACGGTATTGTCACCATTCGGTGAACCTGCATTTGTAAAAGCATTTTTATTGATGATTTTGTATTCCGTTTTTTATCTTAAATAATGTATACAACGATTTATTGAATAAATGTACTTCTAAGATTTTTATACACGAGGTCTGGACTTGTTTCTTAAAAGCCCCCTTTTTTTCTTTTCCCCTCTGGGTCCTCGCACACCCCACTGTGGAAATACCCTTTTTTTTTCTTGCATTTGAAACCTGGGGTGTGAAACTTCCAGCTCCTCTATATGTCTTCTGCAACGCATGTCTACTAATATTATCCCTTAACCAGAGGTAAATGTAATTCCCTGATCCCAAATCGGTATGGCTAGTGAGGGAAAGAGCCGGTTTTTAAATGCTGCACAACAATTACTGTTTACTAGAAGTGTAACTATAATTTAGGGGGCACTACAGTTAAATCTGATTGTGCCCCCCAGGAGGGGCGTCCCGAGGCCAGGTGTCACCAGGGCCGGATTTCCCACAAGGCCAACCAAGGCCCGGCCTTGGGGCAGCAGGGGTGTGGAATTCCTATCTCCCGATGCCTGGGACATGCAGTTACGGGCGCCAAGCGGGTAGTTGTTTTCTACATTTAGCGCTGCTTCAGGCAAGTAACGTTAAATGTACAGCAGGGAAGCCGCCACTTGTTTTGTTTTGTGCAAGTGATCTTGGTGATGTCAGCCTGCAGGTCTGCCTTTCTCCATTGGGGGGATTGGCGGGTAGGTGGGTGCATTAAGGAACCTAGCCTTTGGGCAGCAGAGAGAGTAAATCCAGCCATGGGTGTCACCCGGAGCAGATACCAGGTGACACCCCGCCAAGACGTCACCGCGCATGCGCTGTCATTTTTTTGATACTTGCCGGCGGCCATCTCGTTGATGGACGCCGGCAGAGAGAGGAGGGGACGTTCAACCGGCGGGATAAGGTATGCCGCCAGGTCCCATCCTCTCTCTCCTGCAGCGGTCGGGCTCACGGTCCATGACCGAGTGCCTGACTTTTCAGAGGAGGTGACACCAAAATGACTGTCAGTCATTTTGGTGTCACCCCTCCAATGGTGTCATGGGTCATGGACCGAGAGCCCGACAGTTGAACGAGAGAAGAGGGGATCTGGCGGCATACCATATCCCGCCGGGTGAACGTCCCCTCCTCTTTCTGCCGGCGTCCATCACCAAGATGGCCACCAGCAGGTAACAGAGCGTGGCGTCATTACACACGTGCAATGATGTCGCATGTGCGTGATGACGTCACAGCGGGGTGTCACCCTGCCTTGGGATGCAGCTGGCTAATTCTATCCACTCCAAATCCTAAATTCGAAAAACACATTGGAAACGCATCAGTAATGCTTGTCAATGCACAAAGGAAATGCTCGTTTACACACAACTGCCTAATGCTACAAAATGCGTGATCTAAATGGGCCCTTTATATGCTCTTTATATTTGTATTTTTTCCTTTGTTTTGGGTTTTTGATCATTATTTTTATACTGTTGTTTTTCAGTTTTTGTTTACATATGTTTCTGTTTTTTTTTTTATTTAAAAAAATCTGATTATCACCAAAATTTCGGGGAACGGAAACTCTCAATTTCTCAATCCCCGGTGATGAAACATCTCCCTTTGTGTGGCCCCATCTGAGACCCTGTTGTGTAGAAAGGTTAAATAGGAGCTAAACACTATTAGTTGAGATTGCATTGTATCTAATTATTTTATTTTACTGTCACTTGCAAGGTTCGGACCTGTAACTTGTGAACCTGAACTCATTGTATTCCCATGCCTGTTGGATGGTGCTCCAGGACTGTTTGCTCCCTGCTTGCTTATTCATCCTGATAATGAGCTCTGCGGATAATTAGGATCCGCACGGCGGAGAGAAGTCGGCGTGAATGGAGTAGGCAAGGCTCTAATCTGGGGCAATTATCTGAATACACAATTTACATTCATAAAAGCCCCGCACAATTTTGGGTGAAAGGCTGGCTGCACGTAGCAGGCTGGTGCCTGTACATTAGGATTGTTATAGGTCATGTAGTCAAAAACCTAAATTCTGAGCAGTTTGAAAGAAGATTTATACCATCTAATGCTGAGCATTGATAGTCTGTTATTGCAAAAATGATTACGTAATAGCAAACACCTATGGCCCTTAAAAGGTTAAAATTTGCTGCATTTAGTAGCATAACTAGAGCCATAGCAGCCCAGGTGGCTGTCCTGGGGCCTTGGGGTGGAAGGGGGTCCCATTAGGTTGTTGAGGCAAATTAAACATAGAACATGTGAAGATAATACAGTACTTTGTCATCAAGGGTTGGAGTGGTTTCAGTTGACGACAATTCTAATCCCCCCGTACAAGTCTACACTGTGGGGACGACTTCAGATTCACAAGAGGAGACTTTGGGATCTCGGCATCAATACTCACAGCTCAGAGAGAGGTCGTCAGGTGGGCCCCCATTACATTTTAGCTATGGGGCCCTGTGATCTGTAGTTACGGCTCTGGCTGCACTAATCAATAAATAGCTCATACTGGTCAAACAGAAGTTGGCCATCTCCAACTTTCATTCTGCATACATTCTTATCAGAACCTCTGTCCAGTTAGCAGGCAGAAGACCCACCAAGTAGTAATCTTCCTGGCTGTGCAGTGTGGCAGCAGTGTATGAATCACAAGACTGTCTGAAGAGAATTAAAAAATAGAGAATTCATTTATAAGAATATTGATTTTGCAGGAAAAGATGGGGCTGGTGTACATATTATCTCAATGTCTACATCAAACACCCAACCATGAACGGGTAAATAAGAAGGTAGAATGTTTTCCTTCTGATAACTGGATAGCTAGCTGAATGAGTGCCCATCAATATGGCCCATACGAGGTAAACCATCATTTTTCTTTACTTCACCCTTGACCTACATAACTGTCCAGAGTCAGTGATTTAGAAAGCTTTGACACCAGACGAACAACATGACAGCCAAGCAGCTAACATGTACGTAAGGAGATCAGCAATGGCAGTGCCCATATTTTTTGCATGGGAAGTTTTTTTAGTTCTCAATAAATAGCAGTGGTATTAATTGTCAGCACAACTCCAAAATTCCTCCCAGGACTGACTTTCACTTCTTCAGGCATCCCAACCTGAAATAAGTCATTTCAGGGACGTGCCCTTCTCATTTCAGGGAGGTGCCTTCTCATTTCAGGACTTTTTAGCATTCTGACACCTGCTGCCGTCAGAATAAAAAAAAAAAACGCATAGGAATGAAGAGCTAGATTGCTATTGGCTATTTCAATTTGCAATAGCCAATAGCAAGCTGGCTATTGCACCCTCCCCCCCTCCCCTCTGTTGCTGTCAGTCAGCAGAGCAGGACCTGATGGAGAACTGCAGGTCCACCTCTGCTGATTGACAGCAGCAGTAGGCGGGTGCAATAGCTAGTCTGCTATTGGCTATTGCAAATTGAAATAGCCAATAGCAATCTAGCTATTCATTCCTATGCTTTTTTTTTTTTTCTCTGACTGGCGGCGGCCCCGATGTCCAGAAAACAAAAAAAACAGATAGCGGAGAAAGGTTTACTCTGCTTGATGCAGCAGAGTAAACCTTTCCGGGAGAAAATGTTTCTCTCCCGGAAGTCCGGGAACCGCTATCCTATAGCAAGAGACTCCCAGAACATCCGGGAGAGTTGAGATGTCTGCTTCTTGAAAATGCATCCACTGTCCACTCAAATGAGAGGAAGAAACCGAGTGGTTGCACTGGCAGCAAAGATTCATTATTATTATATATATATAATGAGCTTCGTGTGTCCAGTTGGAGAGATATCACAAGGTGCAATTCTTTGTAAGTAGGAGCATTGCAGCAAAGCAAGATGACCGTGTAAACTAAAGTATTTCCCAGTAATTTTTGTTTCCCTGATCTGAATGGAGTAAAACACAATATGATAACTTGCTATAGACTAAGCATTTTGTAAGTTCTAATTGCACTTTCTTAGTAAATGTCTATACTGTTGGGAAATGTATGGCAAGAATATTATTTGTATTTGAAATCAATAGAATTGAACCAAACCTTTCAACATGCATGTGTATCTGGCACTATTCTTATCTTGGCATTGACAATATAGGAACAATTGGCCATGAGCCCAAAATGTTGCAGCTGACCAAATAAACTCTTCCAGTGACAATGATGGCCCCAAGTTGCCTTGCTTGGTCTCCTGTGACCCATGGATAGCCAGACTGTCAGTATCATCTAACATTTATGGCATCTTTTAGCTGGCCAAGGACTGAGCTGCCCAGCCTTGCCCTAGTTCAGTCTAAGGTGGACTAATGTTTATAAATATTTTGCAATAAATATATATTACAAATTGGTCTCATCTCCTGCCAAAATTCCCAATCATAATATGGGTCACATGAAGATCTCCATACATGTGTAGGTATAGTAATTCTACCTAACTGATTCTATTTGCCTCAGCAATGTCTTAGCAGAGAAAGACTGGGTAGGGGAGAAGAGCACTTCTCCAATGTGACCTTATAGTAGGCAAACTAGGCTTGAAATACCGTAGCATGGTTCTTATTGGCCGATGCATCTCTTTAGAGAACAGGAAGGAAAGGTGTTATGAAATAAAACATAGACAATAGGATGATGGACTGCACCAGCAGGGAACTGTGTACTCACGTTCAGCACAATACTCGCCCTTCCAACCGGTCAGGCAAAGGCGACGTCCTTCATTATCACAGACGTAATGGCCAAAGGTGTCATCTCGTGGACGGCAATAGTCAGAGCAGCTGTCACCATAGTAATGTTCATCACAGGAGACATGATAGGAGTAGCGCAGTTCGCTTTGCTGGCCCAGGTGAATGTCCTGAGACCAGTCCTCCCCAACGGACAGGCGCCGGCGAGTAGCCAATCGGCTGATGAGATTGTCAGGATTTTCTGCAAGAAGAGTAGAGAAAGGAATTAGCGGATAACACTACAACATATCATCCAGTTTTGTACCTACGAACCCCTCATGAGATCACTGCCATCTTCTGGGCTCCTGGAGGTGTATGGTAATACCAGGATCAATGCAGCGTAAGACATCATACAACAGTTTCAGACATTAGACAGCACCCATCAATAGTTCTGAACCATGCCAAGTATTTCCTGAGTCTAATATATACATAATTGTGAACGCCAATATTCTACAAGGAAGTTTTTTATGTGAACTGCAACACTACTATTATCATAAGGGATCAATGGGCTATCAGTCATAAAATTCCAGTCCGATAATATGCCAAGTTAAGTTATTCACAAACATAATAAAATAACTTCCACAATCTTGTGTTGGATAGTTTGTAGAATAGTCAACTGGTGAGGTTGGGTCTTTCCAGACAATATTTATGACTATGAGGATTGGTCATACACAGCTCCATATATTTTTAAGTCTTGCACACATGTATCACTGTCAGAGTCCTAGGGCCCTAAGAAACAGTGGGGGGAATTTATAAAAACCGGTGCATACAAAATCTGGAGCAGATTTGCACTGCAGCCAATCAGCTTCTCTCTCTTATTCTCAAATCTTGCCTGAGCAAACTGAAGAGAGATTGCCATGGGCAACTGCTCCAGATTCTGTTTGCTCCAGTTTTGATAAATTCCCCTCAGTGTTTTTTTCTCAAAGGGTTGTTTGTCTTCTGAAATCATACTTGAGTATGTTATGTGGTCAATTTAAATGTAATTGTTAGTGGGGTTCAGTGGTGGCCCAGGGATGTCTTCAGTGCTTAATTCTGATGAAACTATCTCCCGATGCTCGGGCGGGTAGTTGTTTTCTACATTTAGCCCTGCCTTGGGTAAGCACATTACTTGTACAGTTTTGTACAAGTAATCTCGGCGACATTGTATGCAGCCTGCAGGTCTGCCATTCTCCATGGGGGGGGGGG